TTTGCACTGGAACCCAAAGGAAGCATAGAAATATAAAGGCACAGCAACAACAACAACAACAACAACAACAACAACAAAAGTTACAGAGTGAAAAAAGGGTAACAACGTGCACTAGCAAAGGATCGGGGACTTAGTGTGAGATGGTTGAAGGTCTATGCTTTATTTAAGATTATGGGCAGAAGAAAACGGTAATCTGTGACAATAGCAGCAGCAGCAGCACAACCACAACCCCCACCAGTACTGCTACCTTTATTACTGTTATAACAATAACAACCATCACCACCAACACTACTAATATCTTTATTATTGTTATAACTTAAACAACCACCACTGTCACCACTTTCTACTCTTGTTGCTGCTGCTGCTACTACTACAGCTACTAACAGTATAATCAAAAACAATACGAATAATACAAGCATTGTCACTGCTTCAGCAAAAACAACCGCCACTATCACTAGTACTACTTTTAAAACAACAACAACAAAAACTTCAAAAATAAACAACACACAATACTCAGACGATATAGCTGTTCTGCTGGATAAAGGAAAACAAATCAAGTACAGAAAACCCAAGTAGTTAAAATGGCTTACACGCAGATATAAAGAAAGCAAAACTTAACAATTATAATTACAAGTTGCGGTAAAAGAAAGTCAATTTTCATAATGACAATGAATGGGAAAGCTGTTCAACAAGATTAGATAATTTCTAACGAAAACTTAGTTACGCGGGCAAAGCTATTTGTCTCGAGTTCTGAATAATACAGTACCGTATTTCGTTTCCCTTGGCAGCTGTTTTAGAGATCAATGTGGACTGTCGTTTGGTGTACAGCACTGATCCTATCTTACAGCTAGAAGTTTCCTCAAGGGGGTTCGGGAAAAAAAGGGAGGGGGAAGAGGGGGGGGGGTGTGGTGTTGTTATCAAACAAGCACATTGTAAAAGGCGACAAATTAGAGATTTTCTGAAATCGGATGTGTTGACCTGAAATGGGCAACCGAGCTACATACAACAACATAATCTGCCAAGCAATTTTTCCAAGGTAAACGCAGCAGCAGAAGCATAATAATAATATTAATAATAATAATAATAATAATAATAATAATAATAATAATAATAATAATAATAATAATAATAATAATAAGAAGAAGAAGAAGAAGAAGAAGAAGAAGAAGAAGAAAAAAAAGAAGAAGAAACTAATTTTTCATCTCCTTCTGTCTTTTCTCCCCCAGTTGAGCATATGCTCTCTACCAACTCACACTAAGTCCTTTGATCCTTCGCTATTGCACGCAGCTCACGCCATGTCCTCCCTATCATTTTAACTTCACTGTCTAGCTCCCTTCTCCGTATGTTTTTTTTTTTTTTTTGGTCAGCCCTTATTTCCATGCCCCTGTTGGTTCTAGTGCAAAGACTTTCTAGTTATATTGTTCTCTAGTTTTGTCAACGTGTGTCCTATCCAATGACAAATCTTTTCCTCACCTCTTGGTCCGCTGGAACTCGCTAAGTTCTCTACAAAAGCCCACCATTAGTGATTTTATCGTACCATAATCTTTTAATATTAATCATATATTGTGTCATTTCTCGTTAACACTCCTGCTGTTCTTCAAAGTTAAAACAAACCAGGTGCCAATTCTTAAGATTTTCCTTGGTGACAGGAGATATGTTGACGACCGGACTCCATACTTTTAGAAGAAGAGAAAGATAAACGATGATGAGCAATTTGGTACATTTCTTCTTCTTTCGTTCGCTCGAAAAAAATTATCTATATCTGCAAAACTGTTCTTTAGTATGAACTTCACTGTCTTTTGTTATTCATTCAGCGGCCCGTAAAGTTGGGCTTTCACCGGTGACTCTCCTGGCCTGAAGTTTTGTCTGGAAATGTGTTTAAAACAGTCTTGGAGGATGTGATCAGTTGTACCAGCTGCCAGTCCACATGTACACACGGCTGATTCGTCAAGTATGGTACGTCGCGGAAGAACATATGCATACGAAATTATTGGCAGTATAACAGAAGGCTGAGGGCAGACGCGGCGTTCACGCTCCACGTCATGGACAATACAAAGACATCCTAGCACGGAAGCGAAGATCCTGATTCCAATCTGCTGGCCAAATGGGCAGTGGCCTAGCAAGGTCAGTATGTACCCGGTGCGGAAAATCCCCTGTCACCCCCCCCCCCCACACACACACACAAGCACAGAGACATACACATTATGGTAAAAACACATATTTTATCCTGTCTCAACCCCCCTCCCTCCCCTGCGTACATATCGGGTCAAAATGGACGCTAGGCAGCGGCACTGTTCGAAGCAGAGGCAAATTTTTTGCTTCTGCCGGACGGTGGCCGATGCATTTTTGCTCCATTTGTAGACTGGATATAGTTTCGTCGCCCAGCTTCTGAGATGAATGCATGGCGTGACACTGTGAGCTGCGGATTACATTTTGAATATTTTTTCGACTGTGACCAACGTGGTGGTGTGAATTGTAGATTCAGAAAATGGCGCGATGCCTGTCGTGCAATGTTGGCGGTGCCCGTATGTGATTAAAATTGATCGCGTGGGCAACTGCTGATCTGTTGCAATGATGAACTGCATTTCTAATGTCGGACTGTTTGTGTTAGCACTTCGGATGGCTACCGTATGCTTTAATGCGAGCGTATGCTAGATATGCTGAGACAGCAGTCTGTCAATCTTTCCACAAGGGACTGTAATACACATTATGTGTGTTTTTCATTGGCACAGGAGCGGAGCAAAGATGGGGTGACCCGTTTGCTATGAAGCTGAAACGAAGACTACCAGACTACCAGACATATCGGGTTTACTTATATGCGGGCTATTTGCTCCTCGTCACTCAGGGAGATGAACTCCGATTTCGGAAGAGTAGGCTTTTACGACATGCTTGCTGGGGAGACATTGGGTCTATTCTTCCCTCCTCCAGTGGCACAATAAACCCACATGAAGAGAATGACAGTCAGTACATTGCCATTTGTTTATCTTTTTTAAAAACCCTTTCTCTACCAGGTAACTTACAATACGAAGCTGGATGGCACGTTTGATAAGAAACAAATCGAATGAAAAACTGTACCAGACAAACAAACACAACGCACTTCAAAGAAAATGCATAGACGACCCGATGCTGGGCCCGAACTCTATAGACTGCTCTTGTGGTGTCTTGTACAGTTTATGAAATGCATTCTGAGCCAGGCAATACCTGCGATCTCAGAACTTTACATGTTTTTTACAGGGAGCATCAAGAGTCCTAAGCCTTTAGGTTTCATTCGATGCGAGTGAGAAGAACACGACACACGGCTCGTTTATTGTGTCTCGTACGGTTTATGAAATAAGTTCAGGTCTTGCAAGAAGTAAGAGAACTTTAGTACTGTGTATACTGTATGGAATATCAGATTCCGTACACGTTTGTTTTCAGGATAAGGGTGATCTTCTGTGGGTGTTGAGAAATTATTAGGCGGACATTTTGGCTGGCTCTGCATCTTGGAGAAACACTGATGCATGATAAGGCAGACGCGGTCAAAGCCTTATGGAATCACGTTTACAAATCGGGGTAGCAAATAGACCATCAGTCTTGTGAGAATCATGAAGCCAGGAGTGACGAGGGGATTTGGCCGATACTCGACGTTTAGAGGAAAAGCAAGATGGCCATATAATCAGACTGGTAGTGATACCATTGGTATTGGAACTCTGCGCTGGCTGCTGAAGATGAGGACGGAGCGCTTATGGGAATCCGTGTTCCGATACAAATGGTGCCAGTAGCATTCTGATTAAACGTCTGTCTTGCCTTTCATCGAGCCTTTCATCCCCCCTGCATCAATCTCACTAGACTGTGGTGATCCATCTGCTCCTCTGAGCTGTACACCCTCTCCCACAAGGCAGTGTTATGATGTTGATTCTTAAATCAGTAAAATCCCCGTGTGAGTTTGGGAGTGATTGGGGGGGGGGGGAATATACCCTGTCCCCCTCTCCTAAATAAGCATGCCGTAAAAGTCGATTAATTATGGATATTTTCTTCAGTTAGAGTACATCTGCGTCAGAAGCGAGGAACCAACAGCCTGCACAATATAAGCAATATCTGTAAAACGGATTTGTACACAGAAAATGGTGTTCTGAAGCAAAAACAATGTCCAAAAATTGACAACAACCAGAACTTTCCGGCGGAAAAAAAGATAAGTAAAATCCGGCTAGAAGTAATTAGCTATGGACAGAACCAGACATCCGGGTCGTCTATTGTGTGTATGTATGTAAGTTGTACCCCACCAGGACATCTAATACGCCAAAAAAAAACCTGTGACACAAAGTACCACCATATGGATGAGGATCACCGGTGGAGAGGTCCCGGAAACCCCGTCCAGCCACTAGGCCATATTTCAGTCCTGGCTATATTTAGGGCCCCCGGCAAAAGCCATGGTGGGGCTTCAAAATAACTAAAAATTGCATCCCACAATGGAATAAATAAAATAGTATTAGATTTTTACCCCACCAGGACATCACACAAACGATTAACACCCGATGACACAAAGTGCCACCATGTGGATGAGGATCACCGTGAAGAGGTCCCAGAAACTACGTTCAGCAATTAGACCATATTTATGGTCGGGTTATATTGCGGCCCCTGGCAAGAGCCAGAGTAGGGCTTCAAATAACGAATAGACCTCCTTTTCCAAAAAAAAAAAAAAAAATTTGGCTCGTTTATTATGTCTGATACGGTTTATGAAAAAAGTTCCCAGCCAGACCCGGGACACGATTGGATGATGCTTGTGAGGCGAGGGGTCAGGGTTCAAGGTCAGCCGGTGTCCCCGTGTGTTACGTGTGGAAATGAGCGGTGGCTGGTCGACGCAAGCTCTGTTGGACTTAAAACGCGGTTTGGTCGTGGTCTTCTTCACGGAATTAAGGAACACACACAAGAGGCTTACGATGGCAGTTTAAATATTTCAGACTGGGGAGAAAGGTAATTTCAACCAGTGTGAGTTTGTGCTGTGTCCCGGAGTCGTCATCATGTGTAAGACGGGGAACCAGGTGAACGGGGACGAGTCTCTGCCAGTGTTTGGGTGGGATGAAGTCAGGAAACACGCGACCAAGACATCCCAGTGGATTGTCATCGATGGATATGTTTATGATGTGACTCGCTGGGCCAAGAAACATCCAGGGGGACCGCGGATGCTGACCAACCAGGCTGGACAAGATTCTACGGTCAGTTCGCTTGTAGTTAGCGTCTCCCGTACTACTACTAGATGATAAGTTTGTGATTGTGATATTTTTATTTAGCTATTTGTGTACGTTTTATGTATTTCTTGATTCTGGCGTGTGTAAACTAAGCTAGCATCGCGAAGTGAAGCCTCTGTCAAATCATTACATCATAACATAGCCCATTCGGATCCTATCCCTGAATGAATCCTCTAGGATGCAAGTCATTCTTCACGCCGATTTCCCGCTAGCTTCCATTGATTGCTCGGTGCCGTCTGCACCATCCATTGTTAGGACCCAGTCTTTGTTACTTCAATCTTTTTCAAAACATAACTCTCTAATTTCATACGATTTTCTGTATTGTTGAACTTGGTATAGCACGTTTTCAAATTTGAAATCGGCAGTTTGGTTAGCACTTTGATTTTCTTGCAAGATAAGTGTTTATTTGGATTGTTTGTGTGATTATACAACCTATCGATTTGCATGGTTGCCATCGAGGTCAGTTGATGCTCAGGGGAATCCGTTTATTACGGTATAAAAATCAGCTAGACTAATAAAATGCCGTGTGTGAAGAAGTTCCGGATACTGTCAACCTAATATATTTTAGTATTTGGGTTTTGATTTAGTGAAATTATCTTTGAAAGTCGCCAAGGTTTGACTTTCTGGTTAAACACGAGGACCGGAAGCCATGTTCGTCTTCTGCTGGCTTGCCGAAAGCCGGTTGTGATAAAGGATTAAAGGCACTAAATATGTTTATAGCTTGATAGCGACCTTAATATGTGTTTGTTGTGGTTTATAAAGCGGGGCAAGTTAGTGAACGGACCCTAAACATCTGGCAGAGGGTCCCCTCACAAGTGAAGTAATGTAGTCGAGGCTGTTTATATAAATAATTCAGTAATAGTGGGAGAAGAAAGCTGAAATAAACATAATACGATGATGCAATATTGTCAGGTCTAGCTTGGAATAAAATCATAGATAAACTACACATCAACTGTTTCAGTCACCGCTTTGGGTTCCAGAGCCTCATTTCTGGGAAAATGTCCTTGCCCCTATTAAACATAATGTTAAAGTCGAATAATTAGGAGTGTTTCCCTGACGTCCATTGAAAGGGTTTTTTGCATGCAGAACTCAAGATTCTGCAACAAGACTAAAGCAAAGCTCAGAAGTGGATGAACAGCCACAACTTTTTACTGGAGTATGCAGCTGGTGAATGTAATCCATTACATCCTGGAATATCATGCACACTTTGTGAAAGTCTTCTGAACTCTTTCAGGACCACATATTTTATGGGGTTTGGACAGCATTAATTCTGAGCAAAATTTTCTTTATTGCAACATGACAAAGCTAAAACCTTCCTAATGAAAACGTATTGGCTGTACTTAGACATAAAATAATGTTACACACTAAAGAGAAATAAGTGCAGAGTAAAATCTTTTAGGATGTCAGTATTTCTTTCTTCTGGGTCCGTGGTATTCTGAGAATCCTTCTGTAGCATTTCCACTGAAAAGCCCATATTTTCTTGCCTAATGACCACAGAATAGTCCATGACTGACATCCATATGTTACTACAGGAAAGATGTAGTCTGTCAACATTTTGACTTTGATTCACTAGCTGGTACTTGGCATCCGCTGGAGGTCCTGGGGTTCAAACCCTGGTAAAGACTTGTATTTTTTTCATGTGAACTTCTAGTAATTTCCCTTGGTCTCTGGGTAGTAAGATCGGACACCCGTGTGTATTGTTGTGCATATAAAGTATCTGGGTAGTAAGATCGGACACCCGTGTGTATTGTTGTGCATATAAAAAATCCATTGGCATTTGGAAATCAAAAATGATTAGCCTAACGGCGCTGCCCTGGCAAAATTTGTAGTTAAAAAAATCTACTCAAAGTATTCAGAATCCTCGCCGGTGCTACAGAGTTTATGCACTGTGCTGAGTTTCTTCAGACTCAGGCTTGAGTTAGAAATAGAACTGAGCACTTATAGGTTATACCTGTGTGCTATAATGTTGATCTGTTGCATAAACCATAACCATAGACTTTAAATGTTTAATTTCACTTGTCAGTTTTATCATATTGCAAGTCCTTGGCAGACCATAGTCCAGTCTTGGCCTGCTGGAAGATCTCTTGTCTCCATTCAGTTTGCCTATCTGATGTAGTTTCATACCCAAGATGCTGACGCTTTCTTGTGTTTACACGAGTCATAGTGCCTTCATTTTGTGGCTAGAGACTCACTTGCCAAACCAAAGGTCATGAATTTGAATCCAAACCAAGTCAGATCCCAAAAAAAAATTGTCTTGACTTCTAGGTGACCCCAGTAAAATGGGTACAGGGTAAAGTCCTGGGAAATAAAGTTGACTGGTGTGATATTGACAGCCCACAAATCCAGTGCCGTATTGGTCTGTAGCAACATGAGGTGACATTGATGCATCATCTTCTTTTGTTCTACTGTTTATGCCGCAAAGAATCGTAGAGAGGAGTTGTGTGTAGTTTCCTGTCTTTTGCTAGTTGTTTAGCCTGTGTTAATGTCATGTTGCGTGTCTGTAGTGTCTCTTTTACTCCCTCAACCCATCTCTTGCTTTGTTGGCCTCTTGCCTTGAAAATAATGCCGGACACGACTTTACTGCTGGCAAACATTTTCTCTTCTTCTGCCTACCACACCTTCCATTTTTGTTCTCTTTTAATTTGTGGTTTTTAGCCTGGGGCACAAATGAGGAAGCTCAGTGACTAAAATTGGAAAGGGGGGGAAGGGGGTTAGGTCATGCAGTTTTTGAAATAGCATTTGTACATTTGTAAAAGTAAGTAAAGATCCCTTTTCGTGCCTTTAGGCGCATCAGGCATATATTTACTGACCAATCAGCACCAGGTGGGTAATGTGGTCAGCATTACGCTGGCCCATCTTTACTTCCCCAGGACAAACATCCTAGTACCCAATTAAGGCTGGGTTGACCTGCGACGCCCTATATCATGATAAAAATCCAGCCAGCAGTGGGTTTCGATCGCAGGAAGTTGGAATTGAAATTGGATTTGTGCTTGTAATAATCGGTTAAAGAATAATATATCTCTGTTTAATTACAAATGAAATAATTTGTATAAAAGTTATAAAACTACAAGCCGAGAATGTTTTAGTTTTCGCCTGCAGCTTGTATATCTGCCGTTAAAATGTAAACTAATATGACAACACAGTTCATTTTAATAGTGCTGGGGTTTTTCTGTTTGTGCTGCTCCTGTTATTCAAAGCCAAATGTGAGAGAGAGAGAGAGCCTCATGAAGACTTATATCCCAGTTGTGACCCTCAGGGTTGAACAGGATATTTCATAAAAATTACATTACTACCACTGCCTTGTAATCATCATCATCATCATGTGCCCTGTCAGCTGGTATAGGCGCTTCTTTATCTCCACAGATCATGATCCCTTGTTGCCTGGAACAGCTCTCTTGATGACATCCTTCCATGCCATCGTTTCAGCCCATCCAGCATCATCTCTCTTGGTCTGCCTGTATCCCTCTTTCTATTGATCATTCTAGTTGTCACGATGTTTTCCAATGCCTGTTTTCTCATTATGTGGCCAAAGAACAGTGTTTGTCTCCTTCTTATTATTGTATTTAGAGATCTACTTTTATTAGCTTCTTTCAAACAATCGTTGTTAGTTACTCTGGCTATCCAAGGTACTCGTAACATTCGTCTCAGAAACCACATCTCTGTTGCTTCTAAATTCTTCTTAATTTGTTCACTTCACTGACATTTTAAGATTCACTGCCAAAAGCAGAACAGGTTCTGTAACATTTTAGCACTCTCTTTCTGACATTAAATGAGAGTGACTTTTTGCATAAGATATTTTTTATTTTCTGAAATGCTGCCTTAGCTTGACCGATTCTGCTTTTAATCTCTGTCACACATTTTCCATCTGATATGAGTGTTCCCAGATATTTGAATTTGAGTCTCTTTCATTCAGTTAAGATATCACCAGACCTTTTGATCACTTGAAAACAAAATTGCGGGGGGGGGGGGGGGGGGGGGGTCTTGCCATGCATTCAGAGGTGCAGCACCTGAAATATAAAGGTGGTTGGACCACTGCTGTGAATCAAATTGACAATAATTCTTCTCTACGTCTTGCACTCTCTGACACAGTGGTTTGCAACCTTCCTGATGCCTCGACCCTTTAATATGGTTCCTTATGTTGTGACCCACCCCCCAGTCATTAAATTGTTTTGGTTGCTGCTTCATATCAGTAAATATGTGTTTTCCTATGGTCTTAGGCGACCCCTGTAAAATAGTCATTTGACTCACAATGGGGTCACGACCCATAGGTTGACAACTACTGCTCTAACAGCTCACGTGCTAACACCTGTTAGTCAGATAATAAAAGACTTGAGAATCTTCTCTTATTGTCCTCTCTCTCTCCATAAATCTTTCTGCTCGCCACATGTTCCCTTTTATTCTCTTTTTACATCATGGCCAAAAAAGAAATGATTGACTCTTTCTGTGTTAGTGATAAATTAGGTGTAAGCTGCATATCATCTAAAATGTTTAAAGTATTTTAGTTTCCGAAACATAATGCTCGTTAAGCGCATTCATAAATGTGCATGCCTCATGAATTCACTGCTCATAAATTATGCCTGTCCCATAAGTGATGAATGTAACTGATATGGTAGCAGTATATTGGTTTACACTTTCTGTTTAGCACAAACATGTTCATTTGTACTGGCCTTGCTTTTATTTGCTGTTTACTGTTTAGGTTTGCACATAATGTGTTTAATATAACTTCAGGCAGAAAATTGGCGTCCCACATCACTTTAAATATTGCCAAAGATAGATTGCACAGTAGGATTTTCTTCTTCTTCTTCTTTTGTTGTCTTCCTGATGCCAGGTTTTAGCCCAGTGTCGTAATTTTGTGTATTTGTGTTGCGCAGCTTGGGTGGTGGATTTGTTCATCATGTTTGCAGCTGCACGGTTTATCCTTCTCTATCTTGGTCTTCCCCTCGCCTTCCTCCCAGATGTTATGCGTAAAAAGTCTTATGTGCAGTTTGGTCTGGCTGCATTCTCACTTTATGATCGAACCATTTCATTCTGTATGCCAATAAAAATCCGGACATGGCCTTATTCCATCTTTCTCTCTAATGCTGGTCTTCATAACCCTGTCACTTCTAGGATTATCAATATTATTTAAGAAAAAAGTACATTTGAGTAATAAACTTGAGAATCTGTGCATGTACAATGTTACAATAAACATTACATAACCTGTGCGATATCAAATAACCAGAATTATTCAACAAGCATAAGTATCCAATACTAAAATGTGAAGAAGAAAAAAACTCGATCCCTTTTTAACCCCAGTGAGTTGAACAAGATATAATTGTGAATGGCTACCACCGGCTACTCTTCACAGTAGGTTATGTCATTTAATAGCTGAGGTAGTATGCTGAATCATGACCTCGAGTGAGGGGGCCAGTTTCACCCCGTCACCATGTTTCTTGTGTTGCTGTTCTGAAAATTTTCAAATGCAGATTTGGAAGCTTTTAAGAAATCTTAATGAGAAGGAAAAAAATGGGAAAAGTGACAGACTATTTTCCTAGCCTTCAGGTATGTTGGGCAGATATTTCTGGACCTATTCTTCAAAGACTAAAACAACTGAATAAATTATGGAATTGTACAGATAGAATTACAAAGGTCAGATTTTTAAGAGCATGCATCTTTCCCATTGCAACATACGCCTGTGAGACCTGGACACTTACTAAACAAGCGGAACAGCGCATAAATGCATTTGAATATAAATGTTACAGACAGGTTCTAAGAATATCTTGGGTAAAGAAAAGAACAAATGCATCCATACTTCAAGAGCTGAATATTGAAGAGGGTTGGCTAGTAAAGACAATAAAACAAAGAAAATTGAAATATTTTGGTCAATTGAAACGTCATGGAAGTCTAGAGAGAACAATAATGGAGGGGTATATGCCTGGGAAGAGAGGAAGAGGAAGGCCAAGGAGAAGATGGGTGCAGGATGTGGCAGATGATCTCCAGATGGGTGTATCAGACACAGGACATCTTGCTCATGATAGGAAGGTTTTCCGGAGGGTTGTTATGGCAGCGAGGTTCCGCGAGGGACATGCTACTGAATGAATGAATATTCATAGACCAGCTGGCATTTGATGGGTGATATGGTCAGCATCATGCTGCCCGTTTTTACTTAGCAGGACTTTTTAACCTGGTACACATTTAACCCTACCAGACCTGAGGCCCTGAACCTAACTGTCCCTATAATCTGAGCTCCTGGGCATTACCGCGAAAAAACAAACATGATAATACAAAAGTATTAGTTACATGCAAACGAGTGGCTAGAATATGATGAAACTTACTTGGAGACATTGTAGAAAATAGGCTTACCTTTTATCTAGCGCCAATATTCCACCGTTGTGTGCGCATTCACTCATCAGGATCAACTTTGTTTCACAAAGTGAACACCAGATGTTGCCGTTTGATGGACACACCCTTTTCTCCTACTATCGATCTATTTCAAGATTTATAATTTTCAAGATTTTCCTCATCATTCGCGCTCTCACTAACAGTGTCACTTCAAGAACGTATTCTTTTTGAAATTATCACAGATAATGAATATATATATATATATATATCACAGTCTGAATAAACCAAAATAACAATCACCTGTTGGACTGTGAAAAGCCTAGAACTTGGTTCATCAGCGCTCATTTCATTGTGAATTTTTAGAATTTTTCACGTAAAACAACACAAATATAATCCAAACACATCTGGGCAGACATTTGCAATGTCGAACAAAGAGGATTGATAACGATTGGGTGGTTATTTTTAGTCCGTGACGCATCGTTTTCCCGTACTACGCAAAAAGCCAAAAATTAGGGCCAGCGGTATAGAGACAGGTTAAGAAATTCCTGTTAAACCGGACCAGCGGTCTGGTAGGGTTAAGGCTGGGTGGACCTGGGAGCTAGGGTTATTTTTGGAAGAAAAAGACAAAAGTCTGGCTCCATTTGGATTTGAAACCCACAGACCTTCGGATCCGCCGCTGAGCGTCTAGCCGTTACACCACCTCAGCTCCCAATCTAAGTGAAATGTTAAAAGTTAGATTATACAGTGTCTCTGACATTTACATACATAAGAGTTTTGAAAACACATTTCGATGAGTGCCCTTCATTGCTGAAGAACACGTATCTGGACAGCTGGAGTGATGCTTGTAATGACGTTGGAGATATTTTTTCAATGTTTGGAAACTTGTGGGACACCCTTAAGAGTGAAGGGGGAATCAGCTGCTGTTGGCCTTTGAACATCAGTACCTGCCTAAATGCTTCCTGTGGCCCAGCAATCTTTGTTGCAGTGGCCGTGCATGTACTGTGTTACCGGCCAAATTGTCTCTCCATAAAATGGTTTGACCTTTTGTATTTGAGTACGAGTCTGGTTATTTCCTGGTCTCCTTGTGTGGCTTCCGGCTTATATCATCCGAATGCATTGTGGCAGCTAGCTTTACTGTTAATGGTTACCCAGATATAATATCAGTTTGCAAGGGAACAACGCAGAAGAACAAATAGATCATTGTGATCTAGAAAACATAGTCTGCAGTGACTAGGGGATCTGATTGACGTTTAACATTCAAAGGAAATGAGAGATGGACATATCTGTAGACTGCTGCTACTGGCACTGTAGCATAGAAACTGCTGGCTGCTGAAGATGGGGATGAAGTGCTTATGGGGGGGGGGGGGGGGGGGGGGGCTGTCCTGAGTGCTGTGGTGTTGGTTCTTAACTCAGTACATCAGTTGATTTTGTAGAATCTTTATCTTTTCTGTTGTTTTTTCCAGTCCACAGTTTGTGTTGGATGTAGTAGTACTCTGTTGATAAAGTCGTCTTTGGTTGAAACATTCTTTTGTGTTTATGCGCATCTTTTATTTCCTGCATTGCGCTTTCTAGTCTTTTTATATTGTATTTAGCATACCAGTTTCTTGTCGTTGAGAGACAAATGTATGGACATATTTAATGTTAAATTATGTCTAAAGTTATAGGACAGATTCCTGATTTATGGATAGGCCGTTTTTCACACTTTCAGGTGTATGGGCCATATAGGGCCAGACCTACATTTGATAGACCAATCAGCACGTGGGGGGATGATGTGACCAGCATCATGCCAGCTGCCTTTACTTCCCAGGACTTTTACCTGCTACCCATTTAAGGCTGAGTCGACCTGGGCACAAAGGTCGTTTTTGAAAAAGTAAAAACAAAAACGTCCAGCACATTTAGGATTTGAACTCACGACCTTTAGATCCACAGGCGAGCATCTTGCTGCACACTATAGCTGTTCCCGGTTTTGTAGATGATTGGCATGTCAGAAAATCATTTGGTCCATTCCCAGCTCTCCCACCTTGTGAACTTTTCAAGTTCAGGGTGTCCTAAAATCTCATGTCCACAGTCACACTGGTCGATCCCTGCCTGTTTTTCCCAGAATCTTACCCTCTTTTATAGTTATTTCCAAACATGATAGCATTTAACATGCCTTCTTCTTCTTCACTTCCTCTTTTACCACCTGGGGTTTTGATGATGGTATAAGGTTCTGCTTGCTCTTCTGGTGTCCTAACCATAGACATGTTGTACTGTTGTTTCTCTGATGTTATCTTTCCATCCTGTTTAACATCTTCTTCAGCATTTTAAGCCCTTGAGGTTCATTGCTGCAGATATCACCCACCTCCATTCATCTCTCGGGTTGGCCTTCTCTTTCCAGTTGGTGACACCAAGTGTTTGTAAGTCTGTCTGGATATTATCTTTCCATCCCGTTTAACATGCCTAAAGTAGTTTACATGTGCAAGAAACTGTGTTGATTAAACCAGTCTTCTTTGATGTTCAAATCCAATTATTGTATGTATTTTCACCTTTCTTGGTTCCTATATTCTCTCCTCTTAGGGGGCAGAAGACCACAGACGACATCCAGTACTACGTGACATCAACAAGAAGTCTTATATGTTTGGATGTGTATGTGTGTGTGTAATGTTTCTGCATAATATCTTCTATTATTTTTTGCAGGATGCATGGATAGCCTTTCACAACGATAAAAAGGCAGTCAGTAAATACCTCACCGCTCTTCGTGTGGGCAAACTCAGAAAAGATGAAGACAAAGAGGTACGTTACTGACACTCATGTCATATAATGCTGTTATAGATAGTTTCATGGTGGTAAAGGAGAGAATGACTGTAGATAGATAAAGAGTTAAGTGTCTGAGAAGAATGTTAAATTCATGAGTTGGAGACTGTGTCTTGAAATCCCATTCTCTAATTGTGGAAGACTTTTTTAAATATTTGTTTTCAAAGTCTGAGTCTTGCTAGTCAGTCACCATCACCATGGGCCGTGGTTCCCATCTCTCTTATAGAACAGTGTAATGCCATCATCTGCATCCAAGAATTTTTCTTTGTCTTCTTTGTGTTTACCATCTGTATACTCTGGCAGAAAGACCCGGTTTGTCCACTTTTAAAAAAACCGGTTTGTCCACTTTTGGACTTTATTCTTGTTGCAGAACTTGATTTTTGCATGCATGTCCATATTACTATTTGTCGCTTATTTTTATGAAGCCTGCTGGCTCCTCACCTCTTTGGCAGATACACTCTGGCTTAGCAGGAAGGCATCCCCAATTAGTTGACATGCTTGTTAGTCGGCAGAGGGTCTTTAAAAAATTTTTTTTAGGTCCACACAACGAGGCCTCATAAGCGATGCAAAATTTGTCAGAATTGACCTTTGCTGCCAGGTTTACCCTACCAATAATTGGTACCGGTATTCTGTTTAGTGGGTTTTCCTTCAACAAACCAAATGGTTCAAATTGTCAAGATTTTCCCTTAACTCTTTGAGTCCCAGGGGGTTTTGCACCAGGGGCCCAAGGGGGGTAATATGATTTTGACTTTAAACAAATGCAGCACTGCACTTTAAAACAAACCACACAACTGCAGCTGATGTCCAACATACACAAATCATACATGAAAATAAACATAAATGGATAAGGATTAATATTAGCATACTGCTACAACAAACAATTATACTGTTAGTTTTTAGTAGAGAAAACAGTGACTTAGTTTGAGAGGTGAGTAAATTATGAACAAGTTTTTTCCACTTACCCAGAAGCTGATCCCAAAATTATTGATATAGTATATCCAAAATACATCACAAAGGAAGGTACACCACTTATAAGTATGCACAGCCAATATTAAAGCAAAATGTGCAATAGTTTTTGTTCCATAGCGATTTTAATAACACTACCATAACACGTCAAAATATATTCTTCAGTGGCACAAACAGAGTGACTTTTCTAAAAACAATTGAATTCCTCACATAGAAAAAAACTGTAAAGGCACTGTAAACATGTCAATCTGTTCATAGATATATATCTATGGTTTTAGATGATATGGATAGAAGTACTAGAAGCGCTGACATTTGGACTAGCTGGTGTCGCGTTACGAGGTGCTTCTCTTGTGTTGCCAAGGCAGAATTAGTCAGTTTTGTCCTCTTAGCAAGAGGTAAATTACGCACACATCCTCATCAAAACTTGACTCGTCAACGGTTTGGGGAAATTTCACGTCGCTACTTTCATTATCCAACTCCACATTACTTTAATTGATCCACTGTTTTATCAAATTTGATGATTCTGCAGCAGTAAATCGCTTTGATGGTCGTGAAGACGATGACTGATCGGACATATTGTTTTCAGACAATTGTTTGGTAACGTAGTAGACCACACAAATATCGATTTAAAGTGTTAAAAACTCACCAGACCCAAACGAATGCACTCCACGTGTGTACACTACACACTTGAGAACCGGAAAGGAAGTTTAAATTGAGCGGTTCACGTGTAATTACCGATAAGTGGTAAATTAAAAACCGTCACACGTCATGCGCTGTTTGGGCCGCCAAGTAGTAAAAAATGAGCGCGTGATGCGTTCCTTGGGACTCAGAGTTAAGACTCAGTGATAGAGGTCACGGGGGTCACAGCATAAGTAAGTCACCTGCAACATATATTATTAGGTCCTGTTGAAGTTGTTCCATTTCTTGCTTCACTCTGTTTATTGATTTTTTATCTTTAAATAATTTAAGAGAAAAAGGTAAAACAGTTTAAATACATATGTTAGAAAAAAAAATTGAGAATTTTCACGAGGTCATGAAAGAGTTTCATCTGCCTAAGGCAGAAAGAGTAAAGTGTGGAAAAGAGAAAGACAGTATTCGGAGTGAAATTCATGTGGTGATTAACATGAAAAAGCTGCACTTTTGTGTGTGTCGCTGAAAGGAAATGTTCAGACCTGTATTATTTAATTTTTTCGACAGAGTGAACTCATCAAAGACTTCAGGGACCTGCGTCGAACAGTTGAAGACATGGGCTTATTTAAAGCCAGCACTGTTTTCTTCACCTTCATCATGCTGCATATATTTGCACTGGAGTTTATAGGCTGGTTGATCGTGTACTATTTCGGCACCGCCTGGCTGACTTTGTTGGTAGCATCGGTCTTTTTAGTTTCGGCACAGGTGAGTACGCTTGTCGGTTGTGCCTTATTTCATGTTTTCACACCTGTTAATCACTGCAGTGTGTACTACCTGTTCTTTGTTCTTTAGTAATGAGGAATGTTGGGCGGCATATACCAGACCTGACATTCCACTTAATGCCACCGGCTTTGGGGAGAATGTTGGATCAAGAACTGATGTCACAGCACTAGGGATATTTCCATATGCATGCCTATCTTCAGCAGCAAGTGCCACATTTCCATATGCATGCCCATTTTCAGCAGCAAGCGCAGAGTTCATACTTCAGTGGCTGATTGTCTGATTGTATATCAGGCTTGTCTTTCCCTTAAGTATTGAGCACCGGCCAGATCCCCTTGTCACTCCTCGCAGCACAATTCTTCTTAGGCTCTAATGGTCTGTTTGTGCCTCCATACTGTTTACTCTCTTCGAGAGGACACTTAACGATATTTTACTTGTCGTGCATCGATTCACCACCAAGTTGTGCAGAACCAGCCAGTCTTTCTGCTGTTTTTTTTTCTCTCCAACACACCGGCATAACCTGGTGAAAATATTCAAAGGGCGCCAACTGCCTAGCTCTTTTGAAGTGATGCTTGCCACTCTGCATTTGGGGAGTATACCACCATAGATAATCTTTTCTTGTCCTGATTAAGCCATTTAATGAGATGATTTGTATTAGTGACTCTTTTTCTTTTCTTTGCCCATTTCCTATCAAGTTATCTGGTTATGTTTAAAAGTATATTTCTACTCAAAGCATTTCCTCAAACAATCTTGACAACTGACTGCCAGTTTCTGTAATCAGTTGACAGTTTCCTCTTTTTCTATGATCTCATTTAAAGACAGTTGACACAATTTATTAAGGTTTATAAAATAAAGGACCCTTTTCTGCGCCTGCAGGCATATTATTAAGTATATAGGGCAAAACCTATATTTTATAAATCAAACAGCACTTGTTAGCTGATATGGTCATCATCATGCCGGCCGCCTTTACTTCCAAGGACTGTACCTGATACTCAAGACTGGGCCAACCTGGGTGCCGAAATAAAAACAAAATAAAAATAAAAGTCCGGAGCCTGACAGGACCTGAGCTCCACGGCGGCTCCCATGTTTGGGTTTATGGCATCTTGCAGCTAAAGACATCTGATTTGAGCAATGTTTGGGTTTATGGCATCTTGCAGCTAAAGACATCTGATTTGAGCAATGTTTGCGTTTATGGCATCTTGCAGCTAAAGACATCTGATTTGAGCAATGTTTGCGTTTATGGCATCTTGCAGCTAAAGACATCTGATTTGAGCAATGTTTGCGTTTATGGCATCTTGCAGCTAAAGACATCTGATTTGAGCAATGTTTGGGTTTATGGCATCTTGCAGCTAAAGACATCTGATTTGAGCAATGTTTGCGTTTATGGCATCTTGCAGCTAAAGACATCTGATTTGAGCAATGTTTGCGTTTATGGCATCTTGCAGCTAAAGACATCTGATTTGAGCAATGTTTGCGTTTATGGCATCTTGCAGCTAAAGACATCTGATTTGAGCAATGTTTGCGTTTATGGCATCTTGCAGCTAAAGACATCTGATTTGAGCAATGTTTGCGTTTATGGCATCTTGCAGCTAAAGACATCTGATTTGAGCAAACTCCTAATTAATGATCTTTTAAGACATGCTTGTTGGCGTCTGTGGCTTAGGCGTTGCGAATGCCCTTTGTAATGCCGGGGTGACAGGTTCTACCCCCCCCCCCCCCCCCCCCACCTACGGACGATTTGTCTTACGTTGGTTTCGACAGTGGTACCCAGTGCTGACCGTTCAGGAAGCAGTGGCAAACTACTAAACCTAAAATTTGCCTGGAAAAACCACAGCAGGCAGAAAATGCTGGGGCTGTTTCTGCAGCCTCCTGTAAAGGATACACAACTTTGTTGGGGGCAATGGGTCTACTATTTTATTTTCCACCGGGGAGGGGTTCCCGGAACCCACACGGTGAAGTTTGGTTTTATTTAATTTCTGCCTCATGTGTTTTTCTGATTTTATTTTTTTTGCATTTTCCTTGAAAACCACATTTCTGTTGTCATTAGATATTTTCTAGTCTTGTCTTCGTTTTAAAGTTTCTCATGCATACAGACAGACGTCTTGCTCTATTGCTTGTTGAATAATTACCCATTCAGAATTCAATGGTACAGTTCATTTGACCACGTTTGCATTATAATACATTTTATCACCTTCTCCATCTGTTGAAACTTTTTGTATGCTGCATAAGATGGCTTTCTTGGCAAGAGGTTCCTTGTTCAAATCCTTTTCTTGTTCAAATCCTTTCCCGCCTATATTTTTCTTCTTCTGCTTATGTCTGTCTGTCTGTCTTATGTGTTTATGTATGTATGTGTGAGTGTATGTATGTGTGCACATACATAGGTATATATGTGCATATGTATATCTGTTATGTATATTGTTATATGAACATATCATGCTTTATAGTGAAAATAAATTGCTGTGTGAAAGACAGGTGTTTGGAAGGGCTGAATATAAGATGCGCCTGCATGCCCAGTTTGTGATCCTTTGGAAATAAACATTGTTTGTTTGTTCGGTTGTTCATTCTTTTTTTCAACGTCACCACCACCACCACCACTAGTAGCGGCAGCATTTGTAGAGGTTGCCAGTGGAATACTAAACCCATGGACGAACCCTACCTTAGCCCCTGCCACTCCCATTTGCCCTTTTTATTTACACAGTTTTTGTTTCTGTTATCTTCTGTTGTTATTGGTACCTTTCCATATTTCTAGAGGATAGTGTTATATTGTACTGTGAGAGTTACAGCTCATGTCGATGGCAGGTCTTGACTAGCTTGTCTTTCCAAACGACAATGTTTTATTGTTCTGTGGGAGTCACAGTCTGTGTCGGTGGCAGGTTTTGAATAGCAAAACCCGCCAACTGTAGCAAAACCCGCCAACTGTAGCAAAACCCGCCCACTTTAACAAAAGTATTCCACAGTTGGAGCATGGGATTTTAGGACTTGTTGCCATCACAACAGACTGCAGAGTGTCTGGAGATCAAACATCTACAGCACTAAAACTAAACTCAGGATATACAAAACATGCGTTAGGACCGTTCTCCTTTACGGAGCAGAAACTTGGAAAACAGAAAGATAGAGAGCATGCTAAGAGGTCTTGAGGGAAGACTTCTCAGAAGATTGTTGGGGTTCATGTGAGAAGATAAAATCGGCAATTCTAGATTACAACAAATGATAGACCTAGAAGATGTAAGTTTTTACATTAAAAAAACGTAGATGGGGGTGGATTGGACACATCCTCAGATTGAAGAAAGAGAAACGACTGAGACAGGCAGTGCAATGGACATCACGAGGACAGTAAGGAAGAGGCAGGCTCAGAGGCACTTGAAGGCGAACCTGTGAGGTTGAAATTAAAGCTACGCGAAGGACAAAACTGGAGATAGAGAGGATGGCTCAGGATCGATTTGAGTGACGACAGTTTGTCTCTGCCTTGTGTGCCTGTGTGATTGTTGCATCACATGTATTTAGTATGCTTCTTCTCAGACACTTAGTTCTCGGGGCCGTGATAGCGCAGTCGATGGGAGACTCGCTTTCAAATCCAGCTGCGACTCGCTGCAGCCCACAGCTAGTGTTCGAAACTGGGAGGTTCCTGGGGTTAACACTCTGGTAAATGGAGGAACGTCGCTGTAGCTATGGAGTTTCGTGCCGACGGAGACACAGGCGGAAAGTTTCTTATCAGCTGGCCGTACTGGTGGCAGAGCACTTATGGTTCATAACCATGTGCAGTGATGCTGGTTCACATCTCCCGACTTTACCCTTTTACTCAGTTCTCAACCTTTCTGTGTCTCCCCCCACCCTCCTTTAATTCCTATTCCTTCCTGATTTTCCCCCCTTCACTGAACATAGTTTATGAAAGTTTGTTCCCATGAATCTATCTCAATACTATCATTCATGTCCCGCTTGTTCAGATTTCTGTAATGCAGTTGAGACCTGTATTATCTCCTGTACTGGTTGGAAATAATGTTGCTAGTTCTGGCTATTGAATCTAGACCATTCTTTTGGCAGGCAAATGTGTGGTAATAAAAAAAATATTGCAGTTGGCCTGCCTAGCTAGTGTCAAACTTTGATCACATGTTCGTCCCCAGCTGAATTATGTAAAACTATGTATAGACATCAATCAACGGTGGAATTGCATTCCTGGCACTGGCTAAAGGTGTGAACATTTTCTTTCACTAATGGAGGGCAAAAAGCAGGCTATGCCTTTATTGAATTCACTAATGTAATTTACAGATGTATGGCTGTGAATAGTAGCATTGGACTTGGTATTCACTGTCCAAAATGTTTTCTTATAAAAAAAAAAATAAACTGAAAATATAACTGCAAGTTTAAACCAAGAGAAATTAAATTGTACTGTCTCTGCTGTTAAATGTGGAGAGGTGAGGTCCCAGTCTCCTACATGGTGTGACTCTTATTACATTGTCTTAAAAAGCCACAGAAGTGGTGTTTTTCTAAACTGCCCCTGCTGTATTTAAACCTTGTAGAATAGGGGCTTTTGAGCTGAAATGCTATAGAAAGATTCTTAGAATATCTTGGACGAAAAAAGAGGAGAAATAAAGACATCTTGAAAGATCTGAACATCAAGGAAAATTGGGTAATAAACAGCATCCTGTCTTAGAAGCTGAAATAGTTTGGTCATATCAAGCGCCACGACCGATTGGAAAAATTATAGCAGAAGGCATAGTACCAGGAAGGAGGGGCATGGGCCGACCAACATGAAGATAGGCACAAGATATAAGTGACTCCATGAGTATGAAAGTGCATGAGGCGGGAGAGCTGGCGAGAGACCTAGTTTCTTTCAGGCAGACCGTGATGCAGAGGAATAATTTGCCTGAATTATTTATGCAAATGTCTTTTATGTTGGTGTCTGTTGGAAGATCACCTTGATGTAAATCAAAATGCTCTCTTTTTTCTTATTTTCCCTTTTGTCTGGCATTTCCCCTGTAATATTCAATCTTACCTGAAGGAAATTATACTGACTGACTTCTTGAACCTTTTCTCTTTCCTGCGAAGATAAAAAAAAAAGAAAAGTGGTGGATAAACAGAAATCTTGGCAGAAAAACATGTTTTCTGTCCTTCTATCCCTTTGGAACGTAAGCCCCAACTAGCGTACAGTGCAGACTGCTTTAAGCAATCTTGGATGTAGTAAAGTTGTGTTGTGAAGAACAGTATGTCTTGGTTAAACTCTTGTTTGGGTAAGAGGAATTTCTGATATGAAAAGAACCATTTCTTCTGTCCCCGGTGAGTTCTTTTCAGATCTGCACCGTATTTGTAGACATGTACATTATTGTCTGGATTGTGCAGCTGAAGTTTTATGTTAGGATGTAGCCACTCTCTAGCCAACCCTCCTTAGTTACCCCTTAGGACATAGTTCTATGTTGCAATGTTACTATTCATTGTTTTCCTCTTGAGCGCCGCTAACACAGAGGCAACAAAATTTCGCTGAAAATAAGACAGGGTGTTTTATTACTTTTAGCTTAAACAAATGCACCAGGGCTTGTTTTTTAGGATGTGTCTTACTTTTGTTTTTTCAGATGAAGCACTCTGCATTTGTTCATATCAACATAACTCCAACTTTTGTTTGTTCAGATGAAACACTCTGCATTTGTTCATATCAACATAACTCCAACTTTTGTTTGTTCAGATGAAACACTCTACATTTGTTCATATCAACATAACTCCAACTTTTGTTTGTTCAGATGAAACACTCTGCATTTGTTCATATCAACATAACTCCAACTTTTGTTTGTTCAGATGAAGCACTCAGCATTTGTTCATATCAACATAACTCCAACTTTTGTTTGTTCAGATGAAGCACTCTGCATTTGTTCATATCAACATAACTCCAACTTTTGTTTGTTCAGATGAAGCACTCTGCATTTGTTCATAACAACATAACTCCAACTTTTGTTTTTTCAGATGAAACACTCTGCATTTGTTCATATCAACATAACTCCAACTTTTGTTTGTTCAGATGAAGCACTCTGCATTTTTTCATATCAACATAACTCCAACTTTTGTTGTTTGTTCAGATGAAACACTCTGCATTTGTTCATATCAACATAACTCCAACTTTTGTTTGTTCAGATGAAGCACTCTGCATTTGTTCATAACAACATAACTCCAACTTTTGTTTTTTCAGATGAAACACTCTGCATTTGTTCATATCAACATAACTCCAACTTTTGTTTGTTCAGATGAAGCACTCTGCATTTGTTCATATCAACATAACTCCAACTTTTGTTTGTTCAGATGAAACAATCTGCATTTGTTCATATCAACATAACTCCAACTTTTGTTTGTTTAGATGAAACACTCTGCATTTGTTCATATCAACATAACTTCAACTTTTGTTTGTTCAGATGAAACACTCTGCATTTGTTCATATCAACATAACTCCAACTTTTGTTTGTTCAGATGAAGCACTCTGCATTTGTTCATATCAACATAACTCCAACTTTTGTTTGTTCAGATGAAACACTCTGCATTTGTTCATATCAACATAACTCCAACTTTTGTTTGTTCAGATGAAGCACTCAGCATTTGTTCATATCAACATAACTCCAACTTTTGTTTGTTCAGATGAAACAATCTGCATTTGTTCATATCAACATACCTCCAACTTTTGTTTGTTCAGATGAAACACTCTGCATTTGTTCATATCAACATAACTCCAACTTTTGTTTGTTCAGATGAAACACTCTGCATTTGTTCATATCAACATAACTCCAACTTTTGTTTGTTCAGATGAAACACTCTGCATTTGTTCATATCAACATAACTCCAGATTCTGAATTATGGCCTGAATTCCTTGAGACTCAGTTTCCTGTAGAACCATTGCTCCCAGTTTCTCATGTCCAACAATCAAGCTTTCCTTAATTCTAGCTGAAGATTTGAATTGTGGCGTATTTTTAGGGCAGGCCTTATATTAAATACATCCTGAAAAAGTGTGCTAGGGATTTTTTGGGGGTAGCCCCCCCCCCCCCCCCCCCCCCCCCCCCCCCCCCCCCCCCTATGGAAACACAGTAAATGCACATCATTACATTATCTTAGTCCCACAACCCAGTGCACTTTGGGTCATCAGCCACTTGTCTGATCAACTTCCTCTACCTCTCTGTTGGTCAGATGCAGCGTACTTGATGTTTGCATATTTGAGGCCTGTCCTGTCAGCCAGGTTCTATATCCAGGTCTTGGTCTGCCTCTTCTACTTTTCCCCTCTGAAGAGGACTAGCAACATTTCGCAGAAGCCAGCAGATACTGTGTGTCCCCATACCATTGCAGTCGGCTCTGTGGCTAAGTCGATGCAAACGCTTCGTAATGCCAAGATACCGGGTTCGATCCCAGCTGCGGTTTATGCGCCTTGCGTTGGTTTCGGTATTGGTATCAAAGAAGCCGACTGTCCAGAAAGCAGTGGCAAACTACTGGTCGTAAATTTGCCTAGAAAAACCACACAACAGCCAGGGGCTGTTGGGGTTGGTTCTGCAATGTCCTGTAAAGGATACACACCTAACTTAACCATACCATTGCACATTCCACGTTTTCACTTTGTTAAAAGAGGTATGTTTATACTTAATGGTATTAATTTAAAATATGTTTTGATTCATGGTAAATTAATCAGCTGCCAGGGCTGGATAATTATAATTGGTCGTTTATTTTGCAGGCACAGGCAGGATGGGCGCAGCACGATTATGGACACCTCTCCGTGTTTAATTCAACAAAAGTCAATCACTGGATTCATATATTCTTGTTGAATTTCTTTAAGGTTTGTCAGTTTGATGATATTTTTTAAACCATGCATTAAACAACAAAGTGAAGGATCTACATCCTTGGTTAGTTAGCTTCAGGAATATAGTGCTAGACTCTTGCTAAAAATGGCAGAAGCTGTGATAATTAAAATAAGCAGTCCTGTACTGTGCAAAAGCATGTGATCAGTTTGAAACTTTCATGACTGTTAGCAATGCATAGGTTAGGCAATGATAAAAGTAAGTTACAGTACAAAAAAATCTTCATACTCACCAGCTGTAACTCGAGCAGAAAGTTCTGATTATTCATCCATCTCTGTACTTTAGGTAAAAAATAATGCTTTAATTACCTGAAAAAGTAAACTCTGCATAAGTAGTGGTTCTGTTGTCACAATCAACATCACTGCACATTGGGCATTTGCGTAATCTGATAAATGCGGATTAAACTCGCCCTTGCCTGAAATATAACTTAAATGCAATTAAAATTTTCTTTTAAACTAATTAGTGAACAGCATACCTTAATTAAATATGCATCAACTGTGAATACATTAAGTTTGTACGTGGTTGTGTCATGAAGATGATAGCAACTTCCCACTCTATGTCAGTAAGTTTAGTTTTGTACTTTGATTTTTTCAGTTAACTTAAAAGTAAAAATAGAAATGGTATAAACTTTAATTAACTTTTTCAGAACCAGTTGACCTCGTCTTCAACACTTTCTACCCGGAAGGACTTTTGTAGTGTTTTTTTTAAATACCTTTCCATGTTTCCAGCTGACCGTGTTGCACTGTGCTGTAAGGAGACTTGGCAGTCATAGCCCATAATGGTGATATTAAACGGTCAGGGAGTCTTCCCTCTCCATAACACAAACCTTGGCAGTATTGTAGAGATGTTTTGTTCTTCATCTCTGTGAACATCTTCCACCAGATTGTTATCCATGTGCCTAGATGCTTACATTTCTCTACTGTCCTGAAACAATTCCTTTGACTTTTATTATACATGTAGGCACTCTTCTTTGAAATTTCCATTACTTGCATCTTCCATTCATTCAAAATGAGGCTCATTTTATCACTTTCTACCAACACCATATCTGTCAGTGTATTTTTTTTCCTGACTTGTTGCTATCGAGACGGTGTGGTGCCATCAGCAAAGAATTCCCATACATATGTACATAAAAGGAAATGAGCGTGTATGTATAAAGAAAATGTTCAATTTTCATAAACATATCCCCTTGATGGTTCCAGGACCTCTTAGGTAGTTGTTGAAGACTGCCTTTACTTCACAGGACATTACCAGTTTTGCCCTGGGTCAACCTGAAGAGACTTCAGCTCTTAGGAACTACCTGAGTGTACAGTGAACTGTTCTATTATATAAAAAACTTTACTGGTTTTTCCAAATCCTTTAAAACCTCCAGGGTGTATCTTCCTCATGGTGGAACCATCGACACTATCTCCATCATGCCAAGCCGAACATGTTGCGGAAGGATCCAGACATTCGACTGGAGATGTTTTTTCTTCTCGGAAATAATCTTCCTAAAGAAGTAAGTACTCTTTTAAGCCTCTTGTTTTAGATACTGAATGCATTTTCCTTCGAAGTTGAAGTGCATCTGCCTGAGAGATGAGGAACCAACAGTCTGCATACAAATAAGCCCGCTCTGTTAAATGGATGTGCATGCAAAACTGAAGTTCAGGAACAAGACTGGAGTCCAGGTGAAGACTAACAACCATAACTTTTCCCTGAAGTTTACAACTGTTGAACACAGTAATTTAGAAATTAGCAGTGAAAAAAAGGGGTTAACATGTTAACAGTTTAAGATACGCTTAATGTGAACATTCAACAAACTTGGGGAAACTGGTTAAGGTTAAGAACACAGAGAATTAGAGACAGGTGCATAATTTAAGATAGAGAGACTAGTAATAAAAAAAATAGAGAGTTGTTAAAAGAAATAGAAAGGAGATAAGTGGTTTATTTTGGCCATATTAAAAGACGACACTTATTTAATAACGAAAAACATAGGGGGGTGGGGGGGGGGTTAAAGGCAAGGGTAGAAATTGATACACAGATTTCCTATCACTGTCCCATTTAAAGTTAAACGGACCACCGTCCACAGCTCGCACCTTCATTACATGCAAAAGGCAGCCACCAGAGGTGCAAACACCAACCGTCTATCACTAGAACTGCAGTTCAACATTAATGGAAGCAGCAGACACAACAAACCAACAGGTGTTCAACAAGCTTTACTGCATAAAACATACCGCCAGTTTTGTGGGACCCATCCACCTGTTATATTCTGAACATACAGCTCATGATACAAATCACTGGTAGCACATGAAGATGAAGCAGATGGCAAAAATAGGATTTCATTGTGTGAGCTGATTAAGACTCTAGCCTTGCTCTAATATTATGAGATTAGTAGAAAGAGTACAGGAGGAGTAAAGAAGAATAGAATAACTTACAAAGGAGGAGGAAAGAAGGATCAGGAAGAAAAGAAAGGCAAAGGATGGGCCTTATTGGTGGATCATGATTAGAGTGATATTGCACGGGACATGCTATCTGATGGTGATGTGATGTGATGTTGCAGCAAAGCTGTAAGTATAATAATGTAAGGATACACTCATAAAGGTTCTCCATTAGTTATTTCTTCTTCTTCTTCAAGGGTTTATTGCCGTCAACTCCACCAGTTATTATCTGAGTTGTGCACCTGGCAAATGAGGTTACTTGTGTTTATCAGTCTTTGATCGTGTGTGCACTCACACACACATACTCTCTCTCTCACACACACACACACAGAGAGAGAGATTTATTTATATACGCACACACTTAAGGGTTAGTTGCATATCCTTTACAGGACGTTGCAGAACCAACCCAACAGCCCTGGCTGTTGTGTGGTTTTTCTAGGCAAATTTACGTCCAGTAGTTTGCTATGGCTTTTTGGACCGTCGGCTTTCTTGATTTCACTGCCGAAACCAAAGCAGACGTGAGACCATTCAAGATTACAGGCGTACTTATCTGACCCACATCTGGGGAGAGGTTAACAGTTGAAGCCTGCCTGTTATCAGTTTCAAAATGTAGCACAGATAGTGAGACCTCATTGAGATATCACAACTCTTGGGCTGGTTATCAATGCAGTTATCGTTACAGCTTCAGGGGCTAGTGTACTGAATATGAGTAGATAAGCCTTTGTTTTATTGCTGAACTGTCATGTAGTTACCCGTTTTAATGATACCTTACTTTTGGAAGGGACCTTATGTTTGGAAGGGCCGCGCAGTAGTGTAGTGATTCAATACCCGCAGGTCGACCCTAAGGTCTATGGTTTACATCCATGCAGGGGCAGATATTTTCCTTCAAAAGTGACCTTCTCTCCCAAGTCTTCTTCGCTTTCTTCGGCTGTAAACTCAAGTAGAACCTCTGGACTTTTTGTTCCAGAACCTAAGTGTTGTATGCACCTCAGTTTGTCAGATCTGGCTTATTTGTGTGCAGACTGTTGGTTTTTCTGGCCTCTCAGGCAGATGCGCTCCGACTTTAAAGGAAACCCTCCCCCAGTTAGTCTACTGTTACGACAAGCTTGCTAGGGAGGCAGTGGGTCTGTTCTTGATTTCCTCACAATGGGGCTCTGAAACCCAGACAGGCAGGCTCAAATGTCTAAAATGGGTACCAGGCAATGTCCTGTGAACTAAAGGCGGCCGCCATGATGCTACCCACTTCCCCCCAAAAATGCCTAGTTGTCTGTAAATTATATATCTACATGTCCACTGCACCACTAGCATCAAAAGGGTCCTTTACTTATTTATGGTAAAGCTTATCTTGCCTTTTGTAGTCATATATAAATAATTGTCCATATATTACTGATGCCCTAATGGTATGTTGTGAGGGCCCTTTGGGAGCGAGTGAACAGTGCTGGGGAATAGACAGATCTCTACGAATGGCACTGCTAGGAGTTACAAGGGGATCTGGCCGATGCTCGACACTCAGGGGGAAGGCAAGATGGATATACAATTAGACAGTTACTGGTACTATCGGAATTTTAACTCTTTGCTTGCTGCTGAAGATGGGAACAGAGCGCTTATGGGAGTGTATCGAGTGCTGTGATGTCGATTCTTAATTCAACATTTAATATTTGATACGCAAGGGATAGTTATACTCTGTCCTGCAAAGTAATTCATATAGAGGGAACTATAGGACTAGTTTGGGTCTTGGCTACATCAGCCGGTGAGGGGACTATAGAAGGACTAGTTTGGGTCTTGGCTACATCAGCCAGTGAGGGGACTATAGAAGGACTAGTTTGGGTCTTGGCTACATCAGCCGGTGAGCCGACTATAGAAGGACTAGTTTGGGTCTTAGCTACATCAGCCGGTGAGGGGACTACAGAAGGACTAGTTTGGGTCTTGGCTACATCAGCCGGTGAGCCGACTATAGAAGGACTAGTTTGGGTCTTGGCTACATCAGCTGGTGAGCCGACTATAGGACTAGTTTTGGTCTTGGCTACATCAGCCGGTGAGCCGACTATAGAAGGACTAGTTTGGGTCTTAGCTACATCAGCCGGTGAGGGGACTACAGAAGGACTAGTTTGGGTCTTGGCTACATCAGCTGATTAAAATATCAGCTACTGAACAAACTGTAACTCTGTTTATGGTACCCATTTCTCTATTTTTTTAATTTTTAGGTATGCAATAATTTGGGTGACCTTTCCTTTGGGTGTATGAATGAAATAATGTTTGAAATAAATGTTGTATGACTGAAATGATGTATTAAAGAAATGAGGTATGAATGAAATAATGTCTGAAAAGAGTGAAGTCAGAAAGATAGAATGTCATTTAGGTCTGTATGCCCAATTAACAACTAAGAATAAAGTTAGTTTGTTGGACACACCATTTTATTTAAACGGAAAATATATATGGTTCATCATTTGCAGCTAGGGATAAATTTTACTGTATTATTGCGGTGCCACTTCCAATTTCAACATGACATTTGATATTCATGGACTATGTATTCCATGAAAAGTAGCAATTGACAGTTAAAATTCTGAATTTAAGTTTAGATTACAATTACAAACTGATGGTTTTTGTAAAGTGTATGAGCTGGAAGTGACAATATGAACAACTTCAGTTGGTTTTGCTAGCCACTGTCACGGACCCACAGTCCACTTTAATGGGTGTACAACGTAAGTTTAAGTATGATAGTTTTAAATGTAAAAATTTTTATACATAAGTCAAGCGCGAAATAAGTACCTGTGAGTAACCTAAGCACATTGATCGGACTCATTCATGCTGCATCCTGAAAATGCAGCGGCCATCTGTCTCAGTGCTGAACGTACCTAGTGGTAGATGATTGACATATCTTCTTTCATTGTCTCGCAGCTGGTTTCTGCATACTTGTCCTCATTCAATACCCATTTTTAACAGGTGGTTCATTGTGACTGACTCCTTTGTCTCAGTTTCTCTAGAATGCAGCCTATTCAATATGTCTGCCCCAGTTCCATCCTCCATCAACCACCACAGGCAGCCAGTCTGTCGACTCTTTTATTTCCTTTCACGCCGGAGTGTCCCCCTGGGTACAGCCATTATAGTTTCTTGAATTGGGACTTCCTAATACATATACTATATGTAAACATTAAGAGCGAAAGAGCCAAATGTGTATACAATATTTCGTATGTCTTTCTTGAAAATCCAGTCCATGACAAGCTTTTTCTTAATTGCACTTGTTTTAGAAATGCCAACAGTAAATAAATAAAAAAATTTTTTATCAAACATGCTATTATTTCAGTGGGGAAAAAAGAAGAAGGGATTCATGCCGTATGAGTTTCAACATCACTATTGGTTCCTGAGTAAGTATTTTATTAATCTCAGAATCTCGGCTGGTTACAGTGTTTCCTGGTAATTTAATTTCTGTTATCTGTCTTATGCTTGTTTCGAGGAGGAGCCATCTCCACAATGAAGGTTGACATTACTGCATCCCCATCTCACTGTCTTTTGCCCTGGATGTATACTGTCAGACTTTTGTCCTTCCATCTCTTGATATTGTCTTCTCACTTGTATCGCTGTCTACCCTCCAGCATAATGTTTTATAAGAGTGTTATGTCTTTATTATGTCAGAAACATTTGTTGCCACTTCTATTTTTTCCTTCACTGCCTCTCTTTTCATTCCAGTCTCACAGAAGCTCGGTATTTGTTAAATTGTTTTGTTCCCCAATGAAACAGAGTCTACTCTTCTGTTTATCCACATCTCCAGAAACTTATTGCTGTTTACTAGTTGCCTGTTTATTGTCCAAGTTTCTGCACCCTACGGCAGGGTTGAGTATACATAACGTTTCACAGTTCTAATATTTAGTGTGCAGTTCATTTCTCTGTGTACACCAGCAGTCTTTACATGCCGTTGAAAATATTTTTGACCATTCCTGTTCTTTTTTTTTGGTGAGAGATAGGAGAAACGTTTAACTTGTTCTCATTTTTCTGTATTTACTATGGCGATCATTTGATGGACCTATGTATGTGGATTTGATAATGTTACCAGGGGCCTATTCATTTAATTTTGTTCTTCAGT